GAGTTTGCAGAGCGCGTCTCCAAAGCGCCAGGGCCTGTATCTCCACATGCGGTAGAGGTCAAGTGGCATGCAAAGGAAAATGAGTAGATCGGATACCGCCATGCTGCACAGGTACAGATTGGTGGTCGTGCGCATGTCCCGGTACTTGCTGACCACCAAAATGGTCATAACATTCCCGGCCACCCCTATCAGAAACAGCAGTGTGCAGGCGACGGTGATGGCCGTTAGGAGAGGAATTGAATAATAATTGAGAGGGGGCGGGGAAGGGTCAGCTTTGCTTATGGTATTGTTGGTCTCCTCCCAGGTGCAGTTATGGTGGAGGCACTCCAGTTGACTGGGCCAGGAGGGCATTGTTGCCTCTGGGTTATTCTCCCGGCCGCACCTGACCCTGACTGCTGATGTCACCCTGGATCTGGGACTCCTCATGCCCCTCGATGCCGCACTCACCTGCGTTATTCATTGTTTGATTTCCGGAGTTAAGAAAAACGTGTAACGGAGGAGATCAGGCGTGAACACAAGTAATATCCTTAGTGGTGCAAGCAATCCTGTGTAGCCTAACACTTCTTTACTTTGAAGATCAAACACGACATAGACGGTGTTGAACAGACTATAACAGAAATATGAGGCCATCTCAGATCGATCCGAATTATCCACCCCATCTTCATAACGCACACTAAAGTGTTCCAAAAGTACCTGAAGAGTAGGAGTGATGGTTACAAAATGCATTACATCCGGATATTCGCAAGCTATAAATCGCCAGCCGAAATTTTTGGGGATGCATACTCCAATAAAAACGGATATGACAGAAAATAAAAACAGATCTAGTATTTAAAAATCTAACATTTAATCGCATCTTATCTTCTCCATCTTTAAAAAAAATATTTGTGAAACCCACCAGAAGCCTGAGGTCCTTCATGCGCTAAGAAGCCCCAAAGAGTCCCCATCAGCGGCAGCAAGTCCCCGCGTTTGCACAAAATAAAAAGCAAAATATTGGATCGGTTGACGAGTTGCATCTGGCAGCATGTGATGGTGAGTCAGACTCAGGGTCATAATGATGCGGCAGCAGCAAAAAAACATCTGTCCTGCAAATGACAGTGGCGCTCAAACTCAGCCAAACACAAACGGGAAAATAACAACTAGCGTGAAAACAATCACTGTCTGACAGAAGGGAGACAGTTTAATAAAACTCACAAACACCACGAAAGAACGATGCATTGTCAATGGAATAAAAAAATCTAAGAGTCCAAATGGTTAAAGAAGAAATATCAGTCAAGACCGATGAAAAAAATCCACCTTAACACCAGACTTCTGTTCTGCTCCTGTAGTTATGGTGCATATCCAGTGTGTGGATCATGATTCCCGGTGCGCAAAACATCTTACCCAAGTGAAGTGGTTGTGTTGTGGGGGTCTGCTCTGAGTGTGATGCTGCAACACCACCTACCGGTACTGTTGCAGTGATTGGTAGCGGTTTCAGCATTTTAAGCAATTATGCCTTTTGTGTTTACCACCAGCCAATGAGAAAGAGTATTCCTCATTAGCATTTGGAGAATAAGTCGACTCTCTCTCTGTTTTATGATGTGATGGACCAAGAAGACAAGGAAAGTCAGGCAAGGGTTAAAGTCCATAAAAACAAACTTGGTTAAATTATACAAAAAATAAAATAAAATAAATAAAAATACAATAAATATTGAGCCCATAAAAGAGGTCAAAGTAACAGAACTCTACTCAAAAGCTGGCAACAAACACTAACCTACCTAAATGAGACAAAAGGGAAACTTAAAAAGTGGCTGATCAGCCCACAAAGACACAAAAAGGGTTAGAACGCGCCAAAACCTAACTGAAACTAACATAATAAATTCCATTTCCCACCCATAATCCAGAGTTGTCGTGTGATCCAATTTTCAAGTCTTCACATAGGCTTTCTCCGCCCGTTTTCCACCTCTTAGCTCATCAACCAAGGGCTTGGAAGCAGCTGCTGCTGAGGTCTCAAAGGCTACGTTCACACTGCAGGCGAAAGCGCATCAAATCCGATTTTTTGGACCCTATGCGACCCATATCCGATCATGGTATGACAGTGTGAACGGCACAAATTCGATATTTTCAAATCCGATCTGGGTCACTTTCGTATGTGGTCCTGATTCCGATACATATCCGATGTTTTAGAAAGCGACTGCTGTTTGAACGGTCATGTCGCATTAAATCCGTCTTTTACGTCACTGACACAAGACAGACGCCAATTATCAGTTCTGGAGAAGACATCGCAAACGCTTCCTGGCCAATAAGTGTAGATGTTAGTGAAACTGTTGGGAAGACAACGTTGGGGAAACGTGAACATTTTATTTTCACGTATATTTTATGTACTGTATAATCTGTAGATTAGTTTCATTCTAAAGTCCGAAGTCTTTATATTAAGGCCCATCAGTCAAACAATATGGTTTGCTCTGGGTGTACAGAGCGTGTTGTGTGTGACGTCTTCTTTTGCGCATGCGGGCCGTTTTGAGCGTTCACACTAGAGCGCGTTTGCTGTCGCATTTTATTTGTAGTGTGAACAAGCAGACACAAAAATCGGATTTGATCAAAAAATCGGAATTGAGCATTAACACCTGCAGTGTGAACGTAGCCAAATTGTCATGCGCCCTAGAAATATGGATTATAATGAATGACCCCTTTGCACAAAGCAGAAAAAGACACTTTCTTTTCTGGTTGCCCATTACCTATTTAACTTTCACAATATATTATATGTTGCCCTAAGAACTGGCACGATAACTGGCCATTCTGCCTTATATTAAAATACAATAAACAAAACAAAAACGCAGGTAACACTAACAGAATAATTGATAACGATCTTGTGCATTTTCAGATTGCCATTAAAAATTTACCCCCTGATATGTTCAGTGCTGTATAAACATTCTCTAGTTTGGACAACAATGTACATTATACCATTTCCCACAACGAAATAACATCTATTTCTTCACTGAAATGTTCAGAATCTAAGAATACATGAATTTGAATAAACATGTGTTACTTTACAACAATCTCACCTACAAACCTACTTTGCAAAAAACAATTTAAAGCTTATACTTAATTGCTACTTCTTAAATGGTTAAGAAAATAGATGGATAGATAAATAATATTTCTCAGTTTACTATATTCAGTTAAATATAGGAAACAAGTAATTTGCAAACCATTGCATTCTGTCTTTATTTACAGAAGTAATTTAGAATTTTGGGTAGATGATCAATATACACTATGAATGGACTTCAAGTTGCCAAATCACATTTGTATAAGTTGCCTATTGGAACCAAAATGACCTCCAAACTTGTGGGGCTTGTCACAAAAAGCCCAACAACATAACTTAGCCTTCACCATAATTTCTGGGCACGTTCTGGCATCTCTGCTCTACTAACTAACAATGGAGAGTGTAAGTCAGCAGTATAAGAAATGCAGTGAGTGAATGTATGTGTGCAAACGCCCAAAAAGGTGGATGGAAGGCAGACCAATCACCACAATGCAGCTTTTCCGGCCCCAGCCCCACTGAACTGGTTGGTCTAAACTAATTACATAATTACTCTACTAGGGTAGGTTAGGATTGCCTCGATAAGAGTGAGAGGCTTATCACCATTTTTAATGACATATAATTAAGATATATCAGATTATTTTCCTTTTGTCTTAAGCAAAAACAAAAATAAAATAGCAAAAATCACACCTTTGACTGGCAGCATAGTTCTGTTTTTCCTGCACGGATGAGATTCTCATGTTTCAATTGGTGTTATCTCTCTGCCCTTTGCTCAGTGCTTACCAGCTGACACCGTTTATGACCACTGAATTATGATGTGTGTGTGTTTAAGCGAGGAGACGAAGCCGGTTAGTTAGAAATGACTTGAGAAAGACTGATCTTGCTGTCGTTAGCTTTCGGGACAGTCGTGCTTTGAAGTTTTCCGGTATGTATCTGTCATCATTTGATATAGATGTGTGTACAGACCATTGAATGCGTGTGTTTACACATGCAAGTGCGTATTTGTACAATGGTCTAAAGCACAACTTTAGATATTTGTACTGCACAGTCAAACGTCGTGGTTTGGTGTGCCCATAACAACTGAAGTAATGCCAAATAACAGACTGACTCACTATTTACATGGACAAAATTGGATTGTTTCTAAGACAAGACGAGTTAACAGCAAAACTGGTTGTATTACCTGTTATGTCATGTTTTTATTTTAGTGTCGGGATCGATTTAATTTCTCAGATGCGTTTCTTTTTAGTAGAGTTGAAAATGTGTGTTATTTATTTAGAAAAAGACAGTTCTCATCTATTTTTATTTGAAAATGAAGCACATTTAGCATCCTTCATGTGTCAAGTGCACGTGGTAAATGTGGTAAAGGTTTGTGGTTACATTTTTATCTGCAATGTTAACTGAGAAAGTGTTTCCAGGGTGTGGTCGATTTCAGGTTAAAGTCCTTATCAAACCCATAATATACACTCTCGATAACTACTGGCTTTACTCGGCCTGCACAGAGGTGCAGTACATCAATTATTCCACTAGATGGAGGAAGAGATCGCTTTCCTTTTAGTTTGAAGGCAAAACATACGGAGTATAATTTGTATTTATACACCAAGTTTAAGTGAAGACGCAGCCAAATCAAATGCCTAACTATTTTTCTTTTTTTTTTCTTATTATTTTTAAATATTTAGTATAACACCCAAGTGACATGTGCAATGATACACAGAGAGATGAGCTATAAATAATGGAAAGCAAGAAAAATAAACAAATAACAGAGAATGAGTAAAAGTGAGAAGTGATGAGATAATAGGCAGAGTCAGTGTCAAAGAATTTCCCAAGTGTACTCCTCCTACTTCAGCACAAGTCCTGCACTATTTTTTATCCAATGAGAAAAGGCTATGGGAAGAGTCTCTTTTTGTGATTGGCCTAGAGTTTGTGTGACCCCTCCTTCCTGAGGAGTTGGAGAGAGTTCACTGTTAGTTTTTTTTTCCCAGCCACACTTACAGAAGTGCAGACTAGAAGGAGCTGTCTGCTGTCGCCGCCGCCGCTGCTGCTGCTGTGCAATTCTTTGTCTGCTTAGGCGTCTTAGTTGCTTTAGTTTTGCCCAACATTGAGTAAAGCCAGGTGGATCAGACTAAGCAACATGTGGACTGCACGTCCACAGAAAGAGCAGGTTGGTAATGTGTCCCTCTGACTCTCTGTTTGTTTTTGTGTCTGCTCTGTTCTATTTGCGTCCAGGGGCTTTGGGAGATATGTGTCTGTGACACTCTTTGGCTTTGGGTTATCACTGGAATCATGGACAAGAAATGTACAGTGGATTATACTGGAGTACTGCTGAACAAGTTGGATTAGTTCTTTTTGAGCTGCAGCAGAGCAAATACGTGGTTAATGTGCATCACTGTTTCTGTTCCTTGTCACAAAATGATATATGCTGTACTAAGATTTAGTCACAAGTAAAGTGTAAAATGTAAAGAGTGGCTGCTATAGTGAGGTGTGAAGATGAATCTCCTGATCTTTTTGTTGTTTACTTTGTACCAGTGTAATGCTGTGACAAATAATGTTTTACCTGTTGCATAAGACTTCACAGGTGTGCGTGTGTGCATGTCTGTTTGTGTGTTGGCCTGATGTCCCCTTTCTCATGCCTTGTGGGAAAACTGGTTGCTGCAGCTGGAATGTCATGGGAAGACTGCAGATATTTTTTTCCTGCTGTTCGCCCATAGAAAACCAGCTCCCTCCCCTCTGCAGTTCTTCTGTTGTCTTTGCAACAGATATACTGGATACTGACCTCTGGCATTCAATGACCTCGATACTTTTTGTTGTGGTGCCAGCATTATTAAACAGTAAACTTTATTACTGTTATTCCTGCCTGAGGCTTTAAATGCATGCGTTTAAGTTTATCGACCTAAGTCTATGTGTTTTCTTGCTGTGCTTGCTGTGTGATGTATTTGTTATTAAATATTTGTTGGACAGTAAGAAAAATACTGAGCTGACGATTTCTTGGGTATGATCTTTGCTATAACCACCCACCATTCTTTTAAAGTCAAAAAGTAGCATAATAAGTTTTGCATCATTGCAGTTTGCTGCTTAGAAGAGACAGAGGGGATCAGTGTTGTTAGCAAGGTTCTCAGATTTAGTACTACAAATTAAATCCAGATGTGAACTTCTGGCTTGTGTAATGCCAGACAATGTGCCACCATCAAATATTCTTTTGGGCTTTCCAACTACGATTTAAAATATATCTCTATGTATAATTAAAGCATTATAGAATATATTCTTTTCAAATTCTCACAGTTTTTCATTGACTTTTCAGGAGCAAGTCTGTAGACGAGCTATTTCAATGTATTTGAAATGAACCAGGAGACCAACCTGTCGCTGCTGTTCTCCACGATGTACATTTCCCCGCGTTCACTGGGCCATTTGACACTCATACTACATCATACAGTACAACACATCTGCACCTAAGATGTTTGCATTCATATTGTGTCTATTTTTGAACATAGTTCTTCCTTTCTAAAGCACTAAATTATATTTTGCATGCACCAACCCTTCAATTCAAGAACTTAGAGATCCTCTATACTTTTTTCCTACCACTGTAATCATGAGTCACTTCAGTGGTCTGGCGCAAGTTAAACTTTAGTAGTTTCCAGCCTCGGACTTGGCCACACTGGTCGAGCCGAATCAGGCTTGGCTGAAACAGAGAGAGGGAGCAGTTCTCTCACTCCCTCAGTACAATGATGCCTTGTGTTACCATCAGCCGAACGACACTCTGGCAATGATGACGATTGCTCGCTCTCTTTTTCTGGCATCTACTGTATGTCTTGCTTTCTCTGCCGCTCTGACCATCCCAATCCCCCTATCCATGGTGTGAAGGATTAGATAATAGGCAGCTTTAGTGTGGGCAGAGAAAAAGAGGTGTCACAGACCTCTCTCATTGCTTCCCTCCCTCCCTTCTTCTCTCTATCTTTGTACCATCTGTGCCACGAGGAGCTTGGCACTGTTCAGTCTATAAATGCCAAGCTACATTTATGTTACCTTTGTTGCGCTGCTATATACGTACCATGGCGTGTGACTTGTAGTCTCTAATGCAAAAATGCCGTTTACATGCATTGTATATTTAAAAAAGTTTCAGTCAATCACTGTGTTTGCCACAGCACTTCATAAATGTCAGACTGGCTATCGCACAGGAATCTAGGATAGATGGTACATTTCACAAACTACCTATTTTTCCTCACACTTAATGGATAATCCGTGACAGCACCTCTGCTGAGGTTGACATGTTCAGTCCGCCTCCAGTGTTCCTTTCAATGATTTGACACTTTAAAACATGTATTGCAAGCGGATTTATTATAGAGGGAGAAAAGTAGGAGTACTGGATGCCAATGTAAGGTGGACAAATATGCTGAGGTCAACTGGTAGAAATGCGTTTTTAAGTAGTGCTTCTGGATTCAAGAAGCAGCTCTGAAAATGATTATTTTTTTTATCAACACATATATGCAGACATCAGAGTCCGTTTTAGAGGTGATTAAGAAAAGTTTTTACAGTAAAATTGTAAATAAGCAGTGATGATCGTAGTCATAGAGTTTGTTATTGTGTCAAAAACATATAATCAGCGTGTGTCATATGTCATATCTTAGTCTGCCTGAGAAGGTGATTTCCCACAATCTCCAATCTGTTTGAGGCTAGATAATATACTGATGTTTTTATACTGATTACTTTATTTCTTTATCGTAATCTACAAAACAATAATCTGTTTTCTACCACAATGCAATGGCACAGACCATAAACGGGAAATCTGTCTAAACAAAAGGTTGAATAGCAACTTTTATTCATTTTTAATTCCATGTTGCTCAGAAATCTTCATAAATACAACAAAAATGTGCAAAAAATTATATCATGATGATATTAATCTTTTTTTATAATTTGGTAGACATTAGATGAACGTGTTTTTGCATGACATTTTTGTTTTTTGTGCAAAAAGACAGGATGCATCGATTGCACTGAGCGTAATTAGTGAATGTATCAGAGAGAAGTGGGGCGCTGTATTTTTGTCTTTTGATGTGTTTAGCAGTTTCTGGTATGAACCGTGTATGTGGCTGCCCTGAAAACACAGTGTAATGGCTTTATATTGTCTTTGCTTGACCTATAATGTAAACAAAAGTGCAGTTAAGAGTCACCAATGCAAGTACCGTTCGCTGTTGAAGATTTAAAGTTTAATGAGCTATTATTAAAGCATCTTTTTGCTTCTTCAAAGCTGTTAGACACCTTAAAAGGTGATGACTTTGAGATACAATGGAGAAGTGAAAACACAAGATTTTAGAACTGGTGCGTGAAATCTCCTTTGATGGTTTAAAAAATGTTTGTGTTGCATATCTAAGTCCCTTTTGCCAACAGGATGCCCTGAAGCAGCAGAATATTTTCCTTTTAGCATATTTGAACGGACGGCTCTGTTCAAAATATTTAGGATTTGGTTTAAGCTTCATGCCGAGAACACAACCCATTTCTCAGAATTAACCACTGCAGTGTGAGCTCCCACCCAAAACAGCACGTTGCTGTGTAAATTAGAATCATGTTTCCAGATGTGAGACACCTTAGAAAATAAGGTCTCGCTGCTTTCTGTTTCTTTTATAAGAACTTATGCACTGTATAGACCTCAAAACTGTAATCTGAAAAGGGCACTCAACACGATTTGCTCGAAAGTATCTTATTTGTAGTTATATGTAAAAGGCAAGTATCTATGTTGATTTGTCTTTCTGCAAAATATTAGGAGTGAGCCAAACTTTTAGCTGCAAAATATACAAAATATATACTTCTTGGCTGAACTTGATTTGGGACACCAGCAGCCACAGAACTGATATGGGATGCAGATATATATATATTTTTTTCTGGTTGCAGATACACGTCCGCTGTGACCTTGTCTTCTTTCCCATGTGTCTCTCGTGGGTCGTTGCACTGTTACAGGAACAGGGCTGCTAGAGGCTCTGGTGCAAAGACGCTCATAAATATCTCATTTTTGCTTGTTATAAAACCACAGAGAGAAGTAAGTCATAGGTTTGTATATTTGAGCAAACTTTATGGGACCAAATTAGGGATTGTAAATGCAACGTGTGCACACAGTAGAGAAAAATGAACCATTGTGAATGAATCAATAGCACAGTATTGATAATGGATTAAATAGTTAACTATTAGTACCACTTTCTCATAACACTCTTTCAGTTTGTAGCTTATCGATTTATTAATTTTAATAAATTATTAATCTAACTATTACGGTACTTATTGAACAGGAATCTTTTGCCGCTGGCCATTTAGCTTGGATTATCAGAACCATGCGTTGTCTTGGCTGCCTTTTAGCTAGAGTAGTAACCTCTCCAAGTCTCAGCTTGAAATTGGTCATTAGATGTGGCGGCGTTAGTAGTGTTGGATAGAGGCACTTATAAAAAGGCAAACTGTCATGCATGTAACACCTCTGCGGATCATTACGACTGACTCGAGTGTGGCATCATATCTCTAACAACAAGTGTATTTTCCCCCAAAAATGTCCAATTATTTATTTCACACAACTGGGAAGAATTTTGCTATATGTTGGTTCAGATGCTCTGCAGCCCTTTTCCAGAAGGTGAGAAAAATTCTTCATTGGAGAACTGACGAACAAAGTATTACAGACCAAGCAAGCTGTAGCTGACAATCCCACATAGCAGACGGGTCTGGCCTGGATCTGATGTCAAGCCGGCACTGCTGGCTGACTGGTGTCATGGTAAGTGGTATGTCATCCAGATATGGCCAGGTCTCGCAATGATGGCACTGTTTATGTGATGGCATGCCACATCTGGCCCGATTGTGGTTTGGTTTTTGTGGCCCAGGCTAATTGAAAACAAGTCTGGCCCGGATCTGGCATCAAGTTGGCACTTCTGACAGATCCAGGCCATACCAATTTTGCTATGTGGGATATACACGTATATCACAAAATCTTTAGTTAAAAATTACTTTAAATTTCACATCCCCAGTAATGGATTTAGCCCTTTTTAGAATGCAAGACAGCTGATTCCTGCATGGCAAGTAAAGCGATATGTATTTAATGACTTTGTGTCACATGGTGAGAGATCAAATTTCCCATGTGTCTCATTGAAAAGATTGATGAGCGGCAACTTTACTTGTAATTCCTCTTTTTTTTCTGAC